GTGAATTTTCTTTCTTTTTCATGTAATGTGTTTGGCTTTTTTCTTTTTCACTTAATTATAGGTCTCCAGTAGAAATTGTCATCTGGTAAGAAGTGACAATTACTTAGCTACAAATATCAAGTATAATTTTATAGACTGAATAGTTAAAACTAAAGAGTCATTCTAGGATGTATAGCCTGTTTAGATCCCTGTCACAGATAGATTTTTAGATAAATCTAAAAAATAGATTCCCTGTTTTTAAATTGTGTTATATCAGGGACAAAGCTAAGACACAGGTCAGGGGCTGGGATCTTTTCATTTTTTGTGAATTCTAACAGAATGCTGAGTCTTCTAGGTCTTTATTTGATGATTCTGACCTTTACCCAAATGATTGATGTGACCCTGCTGGTCTAGCAGCACTGAATGGTGTAGCCTCAGACAGTCTGTGATGCATTAGGGCCCATGACCCTCAAGATAATTCAGGTAGGGCCAACATCCATAGGTTATGTTATGTCAGCTTTTAGTGGGATATTTGGAAAGAAAGATGGTAAAGAAGCAGACAAAAAGTTGTACTATTTGGGACCAAAGAGTGAGTGCACATGCTTCGAATTAGGTCCACAGGAGCCTATCAAAGACATGATCTAAACTCCGAGTTAAAGGTAAACAATGTGCATATTCATTCAGTGTTGCAGTATGGTATGAAAACATGTTGAGATGATGAGAAGTGGTGTTGAAAGTATGTGAGGCAAGTACCTCACGCCCCCTGCCTTCCATGGTGTCTGGCCCTGCAGGCTTTTAGCCAAAGTATGCTGAATGAGGAGGTGGTTGTTATCTTGGAGTCAAGAAAATGGGGAGAGTAAAACTACCATCAAGGAAAGACTCCTTGGGCTGAGATGTTACTGTCAGAATAGCCCAAGATGACTTTGAGTACGAAAAATGAATTGACAGTAAAGGTGAGCAGTCTGAGTTTTCTTTGAAATTTAAATAAATCGTCCTTGAGACTGTCAGCCTGCTTTGTCAGTAACTATACTTTTTGGCCTTCAGACTTACCAAGGAGACTGGGTGGAGTGGGAAGAAGGATGATGCCTTTCTCATCAAAGGAAGCCAATCCCAGGGGCTCCAGCCCGCAAGTAGATGAGGGATCAAGGAATTGGATTGTCTGGATCCAGTTTTTACCAGAATGATGGGCCAGAGAAAGAAGGAACCTTGGACAGTCTGACCTAGTTATGTTTGTATTCCAAGGAAAAATGAGTAAGTGGCATAGCCATCAAACTTTTTAAGGCTGCTTCTAAGTTTGAAATTTCTTAATGATGTTATTTCAACCCCTTATATGTTTTTCTTCTTTTTGAAAGCTGTGAAATTCCTCAGAAACACTCAAGAGTCAGTTTCTGGCATAGAGAGGAAAAAGAGAGGGAGAAACAAAGATATCGTTTTCAGGGCCAAAGACGGAAGAAGGCTCAGCTAGGGAGTGTGGGACCATGCTAGAAGAAAGCTAGGGTCACCCTTGGTTTCTCTGAGAGGAGAGGATGAATAAAGAGCCAGCCTGGCGAGGAGACATGTCCCTGGGCATCTGTACTAGCAGGAGAACCTGGCCACCAAAGGCATTTTGAGTTTCTGGGTAGGAATGATGGCTGGAACTCTACAGTGGAGAAGAAAAAAATCATTAAATTTTCCATCAGACACTAACATGTTGTTTCAGATCATGAGGTTTACTTTCCCGAATGTATCTTCTTAAAATCCCACACTGGAGGCAGCCCCGGTGGCGCAGCGGTTTAGCGCCGCCTGCAGCCCAGGGTGTGATCCTGGGGATCTGGGATCTAGTTCCACATCAGGCTCCCTGTGTGGGGCCTGCTTCTCCCTCTGCCTCTTTCTGCTCTCTCTCTCTCTCTCTCTCTCTCGCTCTGTGTCTCTCATGAATAAATAAAAAATAAAATATTTTTTAAAAAATCCCACAGTGATTTTACATCTTTCTCATTATTCATGCCTTGCAGCAGGGCAGCATTCTAAGCCCTGGGTGAGCTCCTGAGTGTAAATCCTGACCTCACTGATTACCAGTCATGTTAACACTTCCATTTGTTTCCACACACATAAAATTAAAAACAAAAATAAAAAAAGAAAAAGAAGAAATACTACCTTCCGGCCACATTAGTTGGGAGGATTCAGTGACATAGCACCTGTAAAGCTCTTAGTAGATCACCTGGCCTAGAGCAGGTGGTGGCTAAATGCTTTTGTTGCTACTAACTCAGTGGTGCCAGTATTTCGGTATTGGGCATTGGGTACTCAGGCACACAGACTTTGTCGATGACAGGAAACCCAAATTTAGCGTAATGTGGTGGAGACAAGTCTACTTAGATGTCTACTGCATTAGACATCCCTTAGGTGACACTTGAGATCTTTTAGCCTCATCTTTCTCAGACTTTGGCCTTTTCTTTGGGTCTAGCCGCTGCTACAGTACCAGCTCTGCATGTGCTCTGACTTCAGGCAGGTGCCACAGAATGGTGGCGCCCCTCATGACTGTGCCATTCACTGGCTGACTCCTTTGTTGGGGCTTCCCTGTTGTGGGAAGTGTCTTTGAAGGAATAGACATACCCTTCTCTTCCTCTTTCCCTTTCTCTTTTCTTTTTAAAAAGATTTTATTTATTTGAGAGAGAGAGAGAGAGCATGAGTAGAGGGTGGGGGGTGAGAAGGGATAGAAGGAGAGGGATAGCAGATTCCCCACTGAGCGTGGACCCCAATGCAGGACTCTATCCCAGGACCCTGAGATCATGACCTGAGTCAAAGTCAGACACCTAACTGACTGAGCCACCCAGGCGCACCTAAGAATGGACATGCCTTCTCTTTATCTCTACTCCTCTTTCCTGGCTTTGATGCAAATGTGATGGCAGGAGCTAGAACAGCTTTTTTGCAATGAAGTAGAAGTCATGTGTTGAAGATGGCAGAGCACAGAGACAAGAGCAGCTGGGGTCTCTGGTGAATGGGCAGGCACCACACCAGCTTTAGACTGCCTATCTGGATATCATTTTGAGAAAGAAAAGTTTCTGACCTTTTAAAAGACTATTATTTGGGGTTTTCTGTCACTTTCTGCTAAACTTAATCCTAACCGTTCAAATAGAAAATTGGCATTCTGTATGAATGACATGAAAGGAAGAAAAAATAGCATCAGTGTTATTTTAGATGCATTACATGGCAGCACTGGATCCAGACGTCAATGTTTTCACCATTACATTTTATCATCTCTTCTAAATTTAGGGTATGTGAGCCAGATGTCCAGTGACCTGGTTGCCTTTGAGATAACAGAATACTGACATTTCAGACTAGCATACAACAAAACACTCTCCATTCAGAAAGCTGAACTGTCAGTACTTCTCATCTACATTAACACTTGATGTTAATTACAGTAGTGTTTACCATGGGTCAGGCTCTGTGCTAAGCTCTCCGATTAGAAAACCCAGGGAATCACACTCTGTGAAGGATGTGTTTGAGAGGGTCAGAGTACTGGCCTGGGATTCCAGGTGGGAAGTTAACCAGCATTTTAGATTAAAACAGAAGCAGAGTTAGGGAGGAGTGGGTGGGCTATAGAACTCTATAAGAGACAGTATTCACAGGAGTTGATTACTGATGGAAATCCAGGGCTGAATGGGTTCAGAATTATTCTCAGGTTTCTAGGATGGAGGTCTGGCTAGGAAATGGCTTAAAAAATTGAGACGGAACACACACAAATGAAGACAAGGAAGAGGGGAGGAGGAGGTTTGATAGAGAAGGTAGAAAAAATGATGCATTTAGCCTGGGAAGGTTAGATTTGAGGTGTTCCTGGGTGCCAAGTGGAGAAGCTAAGCAGGAAATGAATAGATGAGCCTGGAGCTCTGAGGACAAGGCTTGGTTAGAGCATGTGATTTGTAATTTTTTGTTTGTGCCGTTGTGCTTCCCAGTGGCCTGAGTTTCTTGGGGGAGAAATAGTCTTGCTAATCTTGTATTCCCAGAACTTAGAACAGAACCTACAACATACATAGTCAATGCTCAATAAGTGTTGGGTCAGTGATTAAGTGACAGTTAAATAAATGAATGGATGAATTTCAATCAGTCAAAAAAGGTACATGCGTTTGTCATCTCAAGTTGAAAACTCCTGTATATATTCCAGTCGAAACATGATTATACACCTCAGTTGGTTGCAGCGTACCATTATGGTTTTTACTTTAAAGATTTTAAGTTATTTTTTTGAGAGAGAAAGAGTACAAACAAAGGGGGAGGGGCAGAGGAAGAGGGAGAAGCAGACTCCTCACTGAGCAGGGAGCCCATGGGCCTCCATCCCAGAACACTTGGATCATGACCTGAGCTGAAAGCAGATTCTTAACTGACTGAGCCACCCAAGCATTCCGTTAAATATGTTTTAATAAGCTTCTACAGGTTAGCCTCAACATTGAGCCATCCTTCAAAGTCATTTCCACCGGAAAAAGAAAAACCTTTCAGATTCCGAAGTACTTTATACCATACCTTTCAACCAAAGGTCTTTCAGTAGTTGGGAAAGCCATTCTTTTTTTTTTTTTTTTTTCCTTCTGAGGAACTTACCATAACATCCTGCAATGTGTTCTGGAAGCCACCATGTCTAACATGTAGCTGAGAAGTAGGTCAGAGCATTGGACAGTCACCAGTCACCACCTCAATGCTTCAGGGCCACCCTGGCTACACTCTTTTCAAATCAGATCGCAATGCCCAGAGGAGTTTTGAGGAAGGGAACAGAGAGGCACGGTGATCTGAAAATTAGTCCCCATCTGAAAGTACTGCAAGATTCATAACTGGATTAAATCAAGGACCCCAGTGAGTTTGCAAAGGGCCTATACAGTTTTCCCCCTTTCTTCACAATAGTTATGAGGAATAGGTAGGTATTTTCCCAAAACAGCCAATTCTGATTCAGACAGCCTCTCCATCTTTTCTGTAATCATTACATATATATTCTTCTTGAGTAAAAAAGCATTCATACATTCAGTTACTTAGTTTTATTTATTTTTTCTTTTCTTTTCCCAGAGTGTCTAGAAGCACCTCTGGTACAAGCCCACTGAAACCTTGCTCACTCCTCTAGGTAAGGCTTCTAGAATATTTTGGGCCACAAATGAAACCTGGCAGGCCACAGGCTGACTGGCAGGGATTAGGATGGACCATAGTTCCTAATTTATTAACCCTCCTATTGTATAAAAGCAATTTATAGTGAAAGTTGCTTTTGAATTGTTTCAAGTAATGGCTATTGTACCCAGTTAGGGCTCTGAAGAGAAAACAGAACCAATAGATAAATATATGAGAAGATTTATTCTAGGAATTGGCTTATGTGGTTATGGAGGCCAGGAAGTCCCATGACCTGTTGTCTGCCAGCTGGAGAACCAGAAAAGCTAGCGGTATAATTTAGTCTGAGTTGAAGGCCTGAGATTCACAGTCCAGTGGTATAACTCCCAGTCCAAGGTGAGAGGCCTGAACAATGGGGCCTCTGGCATAAGTCCTGGAGCCTGAAGATGGATATTCCAACTCAAAAAGAAGGAGAATTAGCCCTACCTTCACCTTTTTGTTCCAATTGGAATCCCAGTAGGTTGATACCCACCCATACTAGTGAAGGCAGATCTCATTCAATACACTAAATGAAATGTTAAACCTGTGCCAGAAATACCTTCACAGACATAACCCCTTGAAAATATATATTTTTTAACCAATTACTTGGGTATCCTTTAAACCAGTCAAATTGACACATAAGATTAACCATCACAGGTGTATTTCAGGAAATAAGTGGCAAGGTCTCAAAGTAATCAAGCCTGCACAAGAACTCTGTCATTTTGGGATCCCTGGGTGGCACAGCGGTTTAGCACCTGCCTTTGGCCCAGGGCGCGATCCTGGAGTCCCGGGATCGAGTCACACATCGGGCTCCCGGCATGGATCCTGCTTCTCCCTCCTCCTGTGTCTCTGCCTCTCTCTCTCTGTCTATCATGAATAAATAAATAAATCTTAAAAAAAAAGAACTCTGTCATTTTAATACAGTAATCATGCCTAGATATTATATACCATTAGTGTTGCCAAAAACAATATTTGAAAAATATCAGTGATTTTCTTTGCACTTAATAAATGCATTGCATTGGTTCTCAGACTTGAGTACACCAAATTGAGAGCAGCAGATTGTAATTAATGTGAAAGTTGGAGTCAGAAAACCTAGATCTTAGTCTCACACTAACTTCTTGCATAGTTACATTCATTCATGCAACAAATATTTATTGAACACCATATAAAGGTCTGGACTTTGTGGTAAGTGCTAGGGCACAAAGGTGAAAAGAAATTGACATTGTATCTACATTTACAGGCTTGTCTAATAGAGAGGACAGACATCAATTAAAAACAAATCTGTGAATTAACAATACAACTGCCATGAAGTACTACAAAGAAAAGTCACATGGAGATTGTGCCAGGGTAGCAGGGTGGTTAGTACAGGCTTGATTATGATTGAGATCTGAAGGATAATCAGGTGTCAACTGGATAAATGGGGCAGAGGGAATTATATTTGCAAAGTCCTAGTGGCCCGGATGGGACAGCAGGCATATTCTAGGAATTATACAGTCAGAATTGCTTGAGCTTGAAGGATGAGTGCAAACCAATGGGCAATAATAGGAGGTCAACAAATGGGTCTGAGGGGGAGGAGATGGGAAGGAGATGTGAGATAATCATAATTGCATTTCAACAAATTAACTCTGGATTCAATATTGAAAAACAATTATAGGGGGACACAAGCTGACATGAGAACGCTATTACAGTTACAACGCTACTATTGCTGGTCCAGAAGAGATAACCATCGTCTGATCTAGTTGGGATGGTAGAGATAGGAAAAATTAGACTGAGGCAAGAGGAGGTCAAAGCAATAGGATTAAGCAATAAACTGGGTGTGAAGGAGGTAAAGAAGAGGGCAGTGTTACGGTGGGCTCTTATATTTCCGGTTGAGTTAGGGAATAATGAAAGCATACAAGACAAACTGTAGATCCTATTTTCTTCTTCTGCAAAATAAGAGGCAGACTTTTCTTTGAAGTCCAGTCCAGATTTAAAATTGTATAATTGAATTATAGAATTCAATCATTTTTTGAAAATAGAGTACCCTAACTCGAGTGGAAATCTTTTTTTTTTTTTTTTGAGTGGAAATCTTTACAGGTAAATGCTTCAGTTATCTATTTTTACATAGAAAATTACCTAACCCTTAGTAACTTAAGAGAACAGTTACTATCTCATAGTTCCTGTGGGTCAGGGAATCAGGAGGAGCTGAGCTGGGTGGTTTTGGTGTAGGGTCTTTCAAGTGGTGGCATTCAGATTCTTGGCAGGGGCTGCAGTCACCTGACAGCTTGCCTGGGGTTAGAAGTTTCATCTGCCTCCACAGTGGCCTACTCACACAGCTGTCAGAGGAATGCCTCAGGTCCTCACAGCTCTTGGCAGGAGACCTCCAGTTCTTACCCCATGGGCATCTCCACAGACTCCTGAGTGTCCTGGTGACATGGCTTCTGGCTTGCCCCAAGGCATGTGGTCCCAGAGAGAGTCAACGAAGAGGAAGCTGCAGCGCCTTTTATGATCTTGTCTCAGAAGTCATGTACCATCAATTCCACTTTTCTATGTTAGAAGCAAGTCACTAAGTCCAGTCCACACTCACAGAGGGGAATTAGACCCTACCTCTTAAAGGAGGCATATCAAATAATATGCAGATACATCCTAGAACCACCACAGTGAAGTTTAAGTCTTCTACACTTGACACTTCAAAAACTGCTAGGCACCTTTCCTCAATAGTAAATAACAACTGTTGTATACATTCAACTAAATTAAAATAAAACTGAAGTGTTATAAAACTAGAAAACAGCTGTCTGGAACACTCAGTGCTAAAGTTCTAAGGGTGACTATTCATTTAGATCTCTGTAATGAGACAAGGACAGTCTAATAATGCACAAAGCTTATTGAGTCATAAACTAATAGATATTTGGGTCAAAAATTATGAAACACTATGAAGTGATTCTCTGTACATAAATACTTTCTGCATAGATCTTAAGATACATGATAAATTCTAGAAATTACATGTTATATATGAGAATCAAATATTTTATGGGTGAATCAGAGTCAGAGTTGAAGAATATTAGAGCTTGAAGAAAGTGTACAGGAGGGTTGGTCTAATCTAGCTCCCTATTTAATAGAAAACTGGGAGTCGATACACATTTTTTTCTTTAAATTGGTTTTTTTCCTGGAGCTCTCACACAGTGGGAGGAAGCCACTTTTGATGGGGTGGCCATTTCACAATACTACTTATTGGAGAGGGGAGTCATTGCTCTTTGAGATCTTCTTCTAGTCCTGAAAATCCCAGCCCTCTTCAGACAAGCTGTTGGAAAGGCACAACAGGTGTCACATTCTCCTTTGTTTCATAGTCTTTGCAAGTAAGTTACAGAAGAGTTCATTGGATCTTCCAGGGTCACTTAGCAACCTGTTTATAGGAATTGGGAATAAAGCCAAAGTTATGGGTTCCTTCATTTAGACTCTTTCCACTCTCTTGCTTACCTCTGAAATTTTATTGCCTTTTATCACAAACTAAACTGGCTTTTTTAAATCATATAAGCAGAGAGGATTAAGTAATAACTTTTACTTTGTCTCTGTTGAAGATTAATATGCTCATATCTGTGAATACATTATGAATTATGTACTTATGTAATTTGATCTTTGATAGGGAGAGAATAAAGGTAGGAGCAGACTTGTGGTTTCTTGAGTCTTCCTTATAGGTACATTACCCATCTTCCTCTGTTGACTGTAATGAATTTTTTTTTTTTTATAATTAATTTTTTATGGTGTTCAATTTACCAAACATACAGAATAAACACCCCAGTGCTCATCCGTCAAGTGTACCCCTCAGTGCCCGTCACCCCATTCACCCCCACCCTCCTACCCCCACCACCCTAGTTTCATTTCCCAGAGTTAGAAGTCTTTATGGTTCTGTCTCCCCATTTCTGATATTTCTCACTCATTTCTTCTCCCTTCCCTTATATTCCCTTCGTATTATTCTATTCCCCCAAGAGAATGAGAACATACACTGTTTGTCCTTATCCGGTTTACTTTGGCCAAGTTCAAAAAGGGGTGTTGCCTGAGTTCTTCTATGGTGATTTTGATGGAAGTTGTCTCAATTTAGTTTTCATCTATTTTGAGTTTATCTTTGAGTATGGGCAGAGAGTGGTTCCAAGTTTCATCTTCTGCATGTGGCGATGTCCATTTTCCAGCACCATTTATTGAAGAGACTGTCTTTCTTCCAGTGATATGTCTTTCCTCCTTTATCGTTATATTAGTTGACCATAAAGTTCAGGTCCAACTTCTGGGTTCTCTGTTCTGTTCCATTGATCTATTGTCTATTTTTGTGCCAGTACCACACTGTCTTGATGAACACAGCTTTGTAGTACAACCTGAAAATCTGGCATTGTGAAGCCCCAGATATTGGTTTTCTTTTTTTTAAAATTCCCTGGCTGTTTGGGGTCTTTTGATTCCACACAAATCTTAAATAATTTGTTCTAAGTCTCTGAGAAAGTCATGGAATGTTGATAGGATTGCATTATACGTGTAAATTGCCCTGGGTAACATTGACTTTTCACAATATTAATTCTGCCATCCATGGAGATGGAATATTTTTCCATTCTTTGTGTCTTCCTCAATTTCTTTCAGAAGTGTTCTGTAGTTTGTAGGGTATATTTTGAGATAACCATTGAATGGTAAATGGGACTCCTACCTTTTATTTTCAGGTTGTAGGTGTCCTTTGTCTAAAATGAGTCTCTTGTAGACAGAAATAGATGGGTCCTGTTTTTTATCCAGTCTGAAACCCTGACGCCTTTTGATGGGGTAATTAAGCCCATTCAGTTTCAGAGTTACTTGAACTTCTTTCTTAAAGGGAGTTTAAGAGTTCCCCCCTTTAAATTTCTGGCAGGAGCTGGTTTGGAGGTTCACATATTTCTTTCAGTTCCTGCCTGTCTTGGAAGATCTTTACCTCCGATTGTTGAATGAGAGCCTTGTGAAAAAGTATTTCTTGGTTGCATGTCTTCTCATGTAGGACCCTGTATATATCCTGCCAGCCTTTCTGGACCTGCCACGTCTCTGTGGAGAGGTCTGCTGTTACCCTAATATCCTC